TGGGGAAGCATCCTGTGTGGACTGGCCAGGGCCAGTCCCTAGAGGCAGGTATCTGCTCCCCCGTGGCATCTTAATAGAGAGCATCCTTGAGAATGACCTTGATTTGCAGATGTGCAGCAACACTGAGGTCTGTCGGTGCTCCCTGGCACAGACAGAGTCATTTTCCCAGAGAAAATTACCATTCCACCTGCTCTTTAGGAAGCATGAAACTTGAGGACTGCTTGAACCCCCAACACACACACACACACACACACACACACACACACACACACACACACACACACACACGGCTTTTCATGCTCCTGCTATATTGTGAAGTATACTGAGTGTGAGTTCTAGTTGCCAAGCTATGTGTAAGTGTGCCATAGCAGGAGCATTCCTCTATATGATGAAAAGATCCAGGTACCATGTGCCAGGTCTACCAAAGCCCAGTCTAATCATGAACATGAAGTTAATGTGCATCTCAGACCATTTCTGGTCCACAGGGAGTCAGTGCCTCTGCTGGTGACAGAATAAGAGGATGCAAGCTATGGTGAGACCCTCAAAAGATGCACAGTAGGGATGTGGTCCCTTCCGAGTTACACACACTGACTCAGATCCTTAAAGCAGTCTTGGGGGATGGGTCACTAGCTGCTGTCAGTGCCCATGGTCCTGAGGATTTCAGCTGCCAGTGCTTGGCACTGCACTGTGAAGCCACACATCATCGTCTATGATACACAGTAAACGCGAGGAGGAGATAATATCGTGATCTGCATGTGTAAGCAGAAGCTGAGGGCTAGGAAGCACAGATCCTGGGATCCGAGTCCTCAAAAAGCCCATTCTCCCACCCCAAAGGTCTTCTGTCCTTGTGCTACATTCTTGATCAGATGTTAGATCCAGGGCAGGAAGTAAGACCCTCAGAAGGACCGACCTCAAAGCAGCAGGTAGGCATGCACTTCAGTGTGGGAAGGAGAAAGGACCCACCTATTGATGGGACAATCTGAGTTAAGTCTGGAGTGAGGTCAGATCTGGGCTCCTCAAACCCTCCACACTGTCAGAAAGAGACACTAGGCTGCTATGCTCTGACTGGATTGGAGTGGCTGGAGGGGTCGGGCTGTCCTGGGTAATCTCCAGGCACAGAATGAGGACACAGAACTGGAGGGATCTTAGATTGCACACTGCTCTGGCCCACACCGGAGAAGAGAGGAAGGAGACTCTGGATTACCATTTGGGCCTCTGTGAGCTTGGGCAGGGAGGAGGCTTGTGCTGTGGTGGAGCAGGGACAAGGAGCACTGTAGACTCACTATAGCTTCGGGGAAGATTGTAGAGGAGAAAGACAAACTGACAAGGAAGACAGCAGCGTGGGGAGAGCCAATCAAGGCAGCAGGCCAGCCCATACACACAGTCCAGCAAGGACAGCACATAGCTCAAAAGGTCCCAGAGGAATTCACAGGCAGGGGTGAAGGGCAGTGGCAGAGCTGATGATCAGTAGAGCTGGAGGATCCCTTGTGACTTCATCCCTGGAGATCCACAGTGGCTGTCAATGGCTAATGTGTAGCTCTGCATCTGGATCTTTGCACAGGTCTCCCCCGGCTATTTGGGTCCCTGTGGGCATGACGTTTGATGGGGCACTAGGGGCTGAGGTACTCTTGACCCACTTGTGTGAACTCATGGAAGATTCCTGACCCACCTAGGCCTCTCCCTGTCCCCTGTAAAACGTAAGACTGCAGGAACCCTTGCCATGGAGGTCTGGCAGGACTCGTGTGCAAGATTCTACACAGCAGCCTGCTTGGCAACTGAGTCCTAGCGAACACTGCCTTCCCTGCCACCACTGGCTCGCCTGAACAATGCAGGCACCGACTCTTGGCGATTCAGGCAGCTTCCCAGATATAGGGCTTTCATCCACTTGTCCCCAACCTTGTAAGGCTGACAGGTGGCTTCTCACAAGCCTGGCAGGGTCACGATGAGTGACGAAAAACTGAAGAGCTCTGGCCCCAAGCCATAGGGAGGGCCTCAGTGGGGTAGGCAGGGGACCCAGGAATCACATTCTCCCAGACCATCTACTCAGTAAGGGTTTTCTCGGTGACAATGTATGTGTGGGATTTTAGCATTCAATCCAACATAGATACCTTGTATGAGATGACAATCCACATGAATTTTTAATGCGAGACATGATACTTAAAAGCAGATTCTCACTAGGCATCCCCTCAAGACCAGGCTTTCACACCTCTCCATGCTCTTGGGGACCATGCAGAAACGCATTTGCTACCGAAAGCCATTGTAGGAACCACAACAGTTCAGAAGGGAAAGTCACAGGCCAGAGTTATGTCTGAGGTGGCAGAAAGTCATGCCTGGGGCCACACTCTGATTATACTGCAGGCGAGACTAAATCAAGCAGAGCTCGTTCTGAAGACAGCTCACAAAGTGGTCTCCTAAGAAGCCAAAAAGAGCCTCTTGGTCCGTAATTGTTACTAAATGGTCTCCTAATTGAATTCCTACTTTCCAGCAAAGCTATCCATTACCCTACCACACAAGTGGCTCACACAGGTGCCCTGCAGTAGAGGGCCTTCTTACCACCCCACATCACAGCCAATGTGAGGGCAGGGGGCTTCTTAATCCTCTCACATACATGTTGCATGGGCTCCAGGTTTTCAGGCCCCATTAGGCTCTCAATGGTTCTAGAAAATTCTAGCTATCCTAGAGCCAGCAAAGGATGGGGACTTAGTAAGTGCTCAGCCTGTATCTGGCCTGGGCAAATTGTTCTGTCCCCAGCACCAGGGTTCAGCCCCATGTAGTCAGACCTTTGCCTGGATCTGTGAGTGGACTGCCTGGAGTCTGACAAGGAGGAGTGTGAAGACCCAGCTGCCTCCTGCAGAGGTCACAGATGGCTGAGGTCTGGACATCTGGGGGGGGGTGCTCTGCCGGTGGGCTTTCTGGGAGGAGGCCAGCAGAGTCCAAGACAAGAGAACCAATAGGGCTTTGTGCAGCCTTCAGGTTGCATTCCTCACTTACACATGGGGAAAACGAGGCCCGACTATGAGGCGTGTGATGGCGTAACTCACCTTCCCTTTCCGTTTTCTACCCTGAAAAATGTGATAGCAATGCCTCATTGTGTGTACAGTTGTGGATGGAGTGAGATTCCCTGTATGAGGCACGAGGGAGGGGTCTAGGAAGAGGCAGGGAAAGCTAAAACCAACTCACCCTCCTCCTCCTCCTCCCTACCTGTCAAATCCCCAAGGCAAGGGTGCCCTGGTCTTCTGCAGTAGCCCTTAACCTCTGTTCCCATTCTGCCCAGGAGGAAGCTGTCACACGAGCAGAAGTCAAGGAGGTACAAAACCACATGACCTGCTCTAGCAGACAAGGTGGCATGCCATTAAAAAGCAGCGGGAGGGGCTGGAGCCAAGAGCACTGGCCGCTCTTGCAGAAGACCGGAGTTCAATTCCAAGCACTCATATCATGGCTCCTAAACACCTGTAACTCCAGTTCCAAGGGATCTGATGTTGATTTCCAGCCTTCTTGGGCACCAGCTATATACATACATACACACAGGCAAAAACTTGTATGCAGAAAAACAAAATAAAACTAAATCTTATGCGAGCAGCTGAGTTCCACTGCAGTCCAGGGAGGGTTCTGCAGGCTCCTGTCCTCCTATGTGGCTGACCTGCAGGGGGACCTGATCAGGCCAGGCTCCAGTGTCTCGCTGAGCCCCTGAACCGTCACCAGTACTATAGCCCCAGAGTGCATGGCATACTCCCACAGTAGTACCGTCCTGTGTTTCCACACCCTCTGTAGGATGCTCAAACACAGGCTCTAACAGGAATGCACCTCTGGGGCTGGCCCTCGGCAGCCCTGCTCTTTCCTCTCCTTCTGTCCAGCATCAAGCAAACAAACACAAAGGCATGGCTATGTGATCCATAGGGTACATTCTAAATGGCATCTCTTCAGGTTTTTAGAACCTGAAACCCTGGTGACCTGTAGGAGTATGACCTCCTTACTCCTTCATTCTGTGCATCAGCTAACACAAAGCACACAAGCACCCCAGGAGGTCAGGGTTGATGACAAAGTGTTGTCAGAATATGTAGGGAGGCACTGGGAGTGGGGACAGTATAACAGCAATGGGTGGGTGAAGGTACCACCCAGCATGCAGTCTTCATGCCCATTGTCCATGCCTCTCTCCCCTTCCCTATAAAAGCTGACTCATATGCGTGAGTCCCCCAGTATGGAAATCTGAGGCTGAGAGCACCCTGTCTTCTCAATGGAAGGACTTCAATAAACCCTATTTCCATCCCACCTCATCTCTGTGAGCATTGGCCTGTGACCAGTAACAAACTACTGGGATTTCTCTTTTGACACCACCCAGGGACCCTCTGGGGCCCAGATATTGATCTTGTAGGGAGCGCTATGGAGGGCTCACTCAAGTCTCTGGAAGATGTGGGCTACACCCCACTTTCCTACAGGGAAACCAAAACACAGAGAAGGGAAGCAGGATTTGAACTCTGCTCTGTCTGAGTCCCCTCCTGTGACCCCAGGTTGCTTCTCTAGATTGAGTCCAGCATGCTGACTTCATGGGCCAAGAAATAGCCTCACTCTCCCATAGTCTTCCCTCTTTCTACGTCTAGACAGGAAGACCTGGAAACTAAGACCAAGAGACGGCAAGCAATGCTCTGACACAGGGCCAAAGCAACCCCAGAGAGACGGCAACCCTAGAGAGGGGCCTCAGAGCTGCCGCCAGGACTCTGAGCCAGATGGATCTGATTCAGCTGCCAGCTCTGCTTATTCTGCTAGAGGTTGCCTCCAGGACAGGGAAGATGGATGTGCCCTAGATAAGCAGGCAGGCTCTTCTCCAAAGGCCCAGCTGATGGCTTCAAATATACTCATCAAAATTAACCAAAGCAACAAGAGCTGAGGGATAAATGCCTCACACCAGACCACAGTTCCAGAGCAGAACCAGACCAGTGGTACAGGCAGCCATGGAGAGACAGATCCCAAGGGTTGGCCACCCCCGGATGGTATGTACATACCTTTCTCTTGTTGGCCGGGCAGATATAGAAGTTGTCAATGACGGTGGTGACACCAGGCTGGAGAGTAAGTTTGGTGTATGTTGTCCCAAAATCTGAGGACCTATGGGAACAGAGACAATTGTCAACACATGTTCTTCATGGGTAGGCTTTCCAGCATTGTGGTGTGCCGACACTGGAATAACTAAGGTACCAGGTTTTGTCCTCTCCATCTTCCCAGGGGAAGGATGTTCCACCCCAAGTGCAAGAGAGGAGACTGGGTTCCCTTGCAGATAGCAGGTTTGCTCAGGTCTACAGCCCAGATCTGGAGTTAGAACCAGAAGTTAGAATGCTTTTGCGGGAAGGGGGGGGGCATGGGGTGGGGAGTGGGTTCAAGATAGAATTTCTCTGAGACCTGGCTGCCTGGAACTAGCTCGTGTAGACCAGGCTGGCCTTGAACTCAGCGCCCCACCTGTCTCTGCCTCCAGAGTGCTGGGATTCAAGGTGTGTGTCACCCCAGCCCTGCTCAGAAGTCAGAACTTCTTGATTCTTCTATCTTATGATGCTTCACAAAACCCTCAAGATCTATTCCATTTTGTCCATCTCATAGACAAGCAGTAGGCACCGAGGGGCCCTGCATGAGGGACCACTCAGCTGACAAGCAGCAGACACAGGGTACAAACGCTGGCCCATCTGATGCCGGGTCCCAGCCCATTCTGCATGGCCACTGACTGAGCCGAGGCCCCATCGCTCGCATCTGCTCATCCATTGTGTCTCTGAAAGCTCAGCTCCAGCAGGAGGGAACATCCAGGCACAGGGTGACCCCTGCCTTAATCACATGACCACAGGATAGCAGGGACAAGCTTGGTATCTTCTGGGAGTCATTTTCCAGGACCTGTGTCACCCGGAGCTGGCCCAGTGAGCTTCCCACGGGAGAACAGGCCAATAACTCTACACCACCTCCAGCCCCTTTTCCTCAGCCTCAAAGTGAGGAGATGCAAGTGGAAGGTCCCAATAGCTCCCTGAGTCCTGAAGCCCCAAGGCCACTGGAAACGAGAGGGAGACATGTTAATGCCTGTGCTGGGATTCATGGATGTATCAGACCATGGAACCACCTCTACATTGAAGTGTAAGTCACAATGGCTTCCTATGACAACTCACTAAAACATGTGGGAACTGGGGCTGGAGAGATGGCTGGGCAGTTAAGAGCACTTGCTGCCCTTACAGAGAACCTGAGTTCCATTCCCAGCTCCCGTATGCAAATCTAGCTCTGGGGGAATCTGATGCTTTTGTCCTGCACTCACGGGCACAAACCCTCTTGCAGAAACACACCTGCATGCCAACGTGATAAAAGTACATCTGAAATATGTGGGCATTCAGACTACGCCAAGAGTACTGGGGGAGTTGGGCCGGATAGGGCCTCTGGCTTCGGTCAACGTTTCCACCTAAAACCTCGGCACCAAGTGGTGGTGGGGCTTGGCCCCTGGCTGTGCTGCTGCCTGTCACCTGTACCTGCTGCGTGGCCTCAGCAACATCTTCCCTCCTCTTGGCCTACAGAGAGGCTGGAGGAGGACAGGGCTTGTTGCTCCAGAGCTGAAGTGAGACCCTGAGCCACTTCCTTGCAAATTCCCCACCTGCTGACTGGAGCTTTCAGTGTGCACTCACTGTTCTGGAGCTCACTCCCCACCCAACCCTCAGACCTTCAGGTGAAGCAGTGCTAAGGAGATGGCCATGTTTACTATCACTGGGCTTGGTGGCCACTGGTCCCCGAGGTCCTTTATAAACCTCTGGGTCATGAGGTCCCTTATGCCAGGACAAGAGACAGCCCAACCCCCATCTTCTGACTCTTAGGATAGCCCAGCCAGGGGTAGGGTCTGGCTTCCTCATCCTCCCTAGGAGGGCTAGAGCAAGCACACCTGCTGTCTACTCAAGGCACATTTGCCCTCCAGACCGCAGAGAATTGATTTTCATTGGTTAAAGGGAAGTGAGAGGTCCCATTAGCAGAGATCGATCCACCCGGCCCAGAGCCCTGTAGAGGCAATGGTTGTTTATAAGCTCAGAGCCCACAGCCTAATGCAGCTGGGTCTTCTCTGGCTGCTCTTCCCAAACCCCCCCATAGGCCACCCCTTTTCCTCCTGGTCCCCATTGCCTCAGCCTCAGTCCAGCCAGCCCAGCCTCTTTTCCATCCTCCTCGCTACAGGGGCTGCCCAAAGCTGAGAACTCAAGGGTACCTGTGGGTGTGGGTTAGCCATGGACAATAGCCACCCCTGAGGTCCAGGACACTCGTCAAGGGAGGAGGGCAGGCACATGCTAAGAAAGGTAGCAAAGTACAATCACACTGGAAGAGGAAGATGCAGGGACCAGGGAGACCCGGGAGTTAGTGGGATCACTGGATCATAGATGGGCATGGGCAAAGTAACATACATACAGAGACCTGAGGGAAGAAGCGGGGACTGTGCCTGCCAGGGAAGGGCACCTGTGTCCAGTTGGCCAGGGAAGGGCACCTGTGTCCAGTTGGCCAGGGAAGGGCACCTGTGTCCAGTTGGTCAGGGAAAGGCACCTGTCCCCAGTTGGCCAGGGAAGGGCACCTGTCCCCAGTTGGCCAGGGAAAAGCACCTGTCCCCAGTTGGCCAGGGAAGGGCACCTGTCCCCAGTTGGCCAGGGAAAGGCACCTGTCCCCAGTTGGCCAGGGAAGGGCACCTGTTCCCAGTTGGCCAGGGAAAGGCACCTGTCCCCAGTTGGCCAGGGAAGGGCACCTGTTCCCAGTTGGCCAGGGAAAAGCACCTGTGTCCAGTTGGCCAGGGAAGGGCACCTGTCCCCAGTTGGCCAGGGAAAGGCACCTGTGTCCAGTTGGCCAGGGAAGGGCACCTGTCCCCAGTTGGCCAGGGAAAGGCACCTGTCCCCAGTTGGCCAGGGAAGGGCATCCGTCCCCAGTTGACCAGGAAAAGGCACCTGTGCCCACAAGGCTAGGGAAGGGCACCTGTCCCCAGTCAGTCAGGGAAAGTCACCTGTACCCTGTTGGCCATGGAAGGGCATCTGTCCCCAGTTGGTCAGGGAAAGTCACCTGTACCCAGTTGGCCAGGCCAGGGAAGGGCACCTGTCCCCACAAGGCTAGGGAAGGACACCTGTCCCCAGTTGACCAGTATTTTTGAAAACACATCAGTCAAGAACAAGAGTGAAATGTAGATCTCACAGATGTCATCAGGCTAAGACAAGGCCACACTGGAGGGTCACATGAAGACAGACATAACTGCTGGAATGCTACAGCCCCTGGGAGCTGGGGGCGGTGAAAGCAGACTCTCCACCAGCTCCCTAAAGGAACTAGCTCCAGGATGCCGCCTGTTCTCAGGGCTGGGGCTTCCAGAACAGTGGAGGGGTCCATTTCCGTTCCTTAACATCACACGGCAGCCAGAGGACACAGATGTGGGATTCCAAAGAGAGAGGGGAGCAAAGGCGGAGACACACATATAAGTGGGGGGGGGACAGAGAGGAGACAGGGAGAGATAGATTAACAGGCAGGCGGGCGGACAGGCTCACAGATGAGCAAGCAACAGGGGAGAGAAAGAGACTGAGAGGAGAGGAGGCACCGGCTGAGACAGACTGGGGACAGACAGACAGACAGACGAGGCAGAGGCACAAAGAGAGATACTGAGGCAGAGATAGAGGAGTCAGACAGAAAATGAAGAGTTGGGTAGGGGAGACAAGGAGGGAAGGTCCAGGGACCCTGGGAAACGCAGAGGGGGTGTTAACAAGGACACCACAGTCCCCCACTGCCCATCACACCCCGCTGCCTTGTGCATCACCTAACCTAGCCTGACTTGCTGACTCTCCCAATCCCCACATTTCATCCAGAGTCTCCCTGCTCCTGGCCAGGTCCTTCCTGCCCACATGCCTTGAGGTGTTCCTGGGCAGGGGGAGGGGGCAGGGTGCCACAGGTAGCCTTCCTTGGGAGGGCATGTATGTCCTGTGGTTGCTGAAGGAAGCTCTCACATCACAATACTTAAGACGTGGTGGTCTCAGGGAGTTCAGAGAAGTCAGAAATGGGACTTGTGGGCCTCAAGCGGAAGTGTTGGTCTCTGTTGTAGGCTGAGAGACAGTCTATGACCTTGACTGTTTCACCCTCCAGAGCAGCAGTTCTCAACCTGTGGGTTGTGATCCCTTTTTGATGTTGCATATCAGATATTTACATTACAATTAATGACAGTAACAAAATTACAGCTATGAGGTAGCAACGAAATAATTTTACGGTCGGGATCAACACAACAGGAGGAATCGTATTAAAGGATCACAGCATTAGGAAGGTTGAGAACCATGGAAGACTCCTTCCAATGCAAGGTTTGTGGCCTGCCTCTGCCTTTGAAACCTGTCCCCAGGGTCTGTGTCAACCATTTTTGGACAAAACTCCTCCTCTCCATATCCCAATCATCCAGGACTCAAAGGACAATCCCAAGAGTCATCCCCAGGAATTCTCAGTCTCACATGCTAAGTCCCTTCCACCAAGTAGGAAACATTTGTACAGACTCCAGGATTAGGGTGTGGCCGCTGTGTCTGGAGTATGTGTGGGAGTATCATAGGTACAGTACATATCAGCCGAGGAGCAGGAACAGGCTCTGGGCAACAGCCAGGTCTAGGGTAACTAGAGCGGAACAGGGAGAGGGAGAGAGAGGACTTGATCTGCTTTACAATGCAACAGCCTCTGGCCACTTGAGGCCGCAGCTCTTGGAATATGGCCCATCTGGTCAGAAGGCAGAAAGACGTTGAAACACTGATTTCTAAGGCTCAGGGTCCAGAAGGAGTGTAAAATACCTCATTGTCAGTTTTATGTAGATTACATATTGACATACTAATATTCTGGATGTATTGAGTTAATTAAAATCATTACTAAAATTAATTTCACCTGCTCCTAGTTTTAGTTAATAGACTTCACTTTATTGCAGTTTCCAGATCACCACAGAACTGTGCTGTAAGCTCCATTTCCCCCTGCCCCTGGCTCCACACACAGACCCTCTCTGCTGCTACCATCCCTGCCTCAGAGAACACATTTGTCCCAGGGATGAGCCAATGTACAGGCCATTGCCACAGAGCCCACAGTTCTGATGAGGGCCTGCTGGCCCAGCAGGCTTC